GGTTGAGATGCTTGGATCGATCTGGGTTTTGCGGGAGTTTTTTTTTGAGAAGGTGGTGCTGCTGATGCCTTTCGAGGTCGTCCTCGCTTCTTAGGTGCCTCAGGATTGGGGATAGGTGTTTCAGGTTGTTTGGGAGAGGCCATAGGTGTTTCGGGTGGTTTGGCTGGTAGTGAAACAAGAGATGATGTGACCGGATTGATCTGGTGAAGATGTAACCAAGCCTCTGGGGACAGGGTTGGTACTGGGAAAGGAGTTGCCACTTGATTGGCCTGAGATTCCGGTGGGCTTGCTTGAATAGCAGCTAATGAGATTTGAATAAAGTTTGTTGGAGTTGGTGTGGGTGTGTTTTGCGGGCCTGGTTGTGGCGGAGAGGGAGAGGTAGTTGAGTCCATACTTCTGTACAATTAGGGTATTCAAACCTGCGCAAGAATAGTGCAAGACCGCTGTGCAAGATCCGTGCAAGATCCGTGCAAGAAATTCTTGCACGGATCTTGCACTATTATTTTTTTCACAACCCCATCTGGTTACAGCGCAAGCCAACACCTTACCTACCATCATGCCACGTGTCTCATCTCGAAGACAAATCATTCGATCACTCAAGCAACTCGCCAATCAAGACAACCGTTCCAATTCTCGCAGTCTTGTCCTACGTGCAAGGCAAAAGGTTGTCAGCAGCTCATCTCTCGGTCTATCCAACTTCTGCCAGCTACTGCAGCTTCCACAAATTCAATCCGTGTTGAATCTTGATCCTCATGCGTGTGTGGCTCTATGGGTTTTCTTCCAACGGCGAACCCGACACCGATTACTCAAATCAAACCAACCTGAATATCAAGTCGATCCGGCCTTATGGGCAGTTGCGATCGATATGATCGAGCGCAAGCGATATTTTGAAAGAAGGCGTCGCGAACCTCGGGGACATCCTCTGACAATGTTCAATAGGGTCTGGGCTGCACGCGATGCAACCTTTTTGAGGCTGGTATGTTTGTTTATCTATATGTTGTTGTCTAAAAGATGAATGTTGAGCTCACCTGATGTAACACTAGGCACGAATGAGTCGTTCTAGCTATTTAACCTTGCTTAATAAAATTGTGTCCTGTGACGTATTCGAGAATCAATCCACTGCTGCGCAGGCCCCAATCGAGCTTCAATTACTTGTCACTCTGGCCCATCTTGGACTTTCTGGAAACGGGGGTGGAATTGGGATACTTTCGCATGTTTTCGGCATCTCGGGTAAGCTTCTTCTACACTTAAGGACATGTTTTGAGGGTATTTGATGACTTAATTTCACTATCTTTGTGTTTTCAGAAGGGAGTGTTGAAAATTTCACGTGGAGATGTGTAGTTGCGATCATTCGAATGGAAAGGGAATATCTTTCTTGGCCAACATCCGAGGAGAGAGTGAAGATTCGAAGAGCTGTTGGCGCAAACAGCCCTTTCAAAGGTTGTGTCGGGTTTGTGGATGGTACATTGATACCACTTGCCTTTGGTCCTCCAAAGTGCAAGGAGGACTATTGGACTCGCAAATATATCTATGCGGTCAACTCGATGCTTATATGTAATCATGAACGGAGGATCATTTTTGCTCGCCATGGATGGTGTGGCAGTGTTCATGACCAGCGAGTCATGCGCACATCTTCAGTAAGATCAAGCTTACTCCATCAATCTTACACATGTATGATTTGATTCACTTTGCTGACAAAGAAATATATCGTTTCCGCCAATTTCTAGATGTGGTCAGACCCAAACAACTTTTTCTCTCAAGGAGAGTATCTCCTGGCGGATTCCGGTTACAGCTCCAATTCTTTCATCATTCCAGCATTTAAACGTGTCGGTGGTATTCCCCTGACTCCTGAGAAGATGGCTTTTAACAGAGTATTAAGCGAATTACGTGTGGTTATCGAGCATTGTAATGGTATGCTCAAATCACGATGGCAGTCTCTGAAAGACTTACGGTTGATATTAAAGGATGAGAAATCGGTCAAACGTCTAAACGCTTGGATATCAGCCTGTTGTATCCTGCACAACTTCCTTTTGGATCTGAATGAACGATCCAATTTCCAGTATCAAGTCTCAACTCCTATTGACCCCGAGGACCCATTAATCTTGAATGAGATATTAGAAGATGATAATGAAGATGCACGCATCCGTGTGTTTCGTCTGTTTTGTGAATCATTATAAAAGACTTGGCTCGATTGTTTTCTTTTTTTAACTCATTTGGTAGTTTTGTTTTAATTTTATCTGAAATGGTGTACTTGTCCATTTGTTTTTCATCTAATCGATTCGGTCTGAAATACAAATGATCTTATATTGAATTATTTCATGTTTCTAATCAAAACGAAAAAGGAACACAACACGGAGCCATTTCCACAAAAAGAACATGAAAATATTTCACAATAATTTTTTTTTTTTGCCAAGTTCTTCAACTCTTTAAGCAAAAAAAAGAAGAACGCAACACCGAGCCAAACGCAAACCGACTTGTTAAACTGAGGCAAACTAAAAGGAAAAACATAATCTTTCTCGTTGTTAATGAGGCTAACTAAGGTAGATAACTAAACCGAAGCCGAATCACATGAGAACATAACAGAATTGGAAATTTTTGATGAGTTACCTCTACAAAAATAAAAAAGAATCAGACTTCTTAAGCATTTGATGGGTCTACACTAACACAATTCTAAAAAAAGAAATTTAAAATCAAGAAATAAGAATCGATTCATGAGACAAGTTCTGAGCTGATATTCAAATCGATCCTTGAGATTCTCCTTCCAGGTCCCCTATCAGCGGCATTGGATAAGCTGGTCAGATTTGGCGAAACTCAAAAAGAAGAGATGTTGCTTGTATCACTTACTTCGAATTTGATCTTCAGCCTCCTCTACTTCCTTTTTAGCTTCCTCAATTGAAAAACCCAATGCCTTGTATTTGGCCAACATAGACAACTTACGTTCACTCCTGGCGGTGATGAGGTCTTCACGACTGCGAGCCAACTGAGATCGTGAAAGTTCAAGCTGAACTCGATCTTGTTCAAGTTTAAGTTGAGATCGTTGAGCACGTTCAGCGGTGTCTAAACCATCATTTGCTCCTGAAAGGTGACGTGCAACTGCATCAGCCAGTTTAGCCTGAGTTTGGATCTCTTCCTTTCGTGCTTCTTGCTCTGCCTTCATATACTTTTCCTCAAAATTCCATCGCTCTTTCTCTAGCTTGTTCTTCTCAGCTTTTTCTTCTCGTGAGGGTAGGTGAGATGCTAGGAGTTGTTGTACATCTGAGGCCGAGCTGGAGGTCGACTTTGCTCCTTGATTATTGAATTGAAGTGAGTTGGGACGTTTGGAGGGCCGGCCAGGTGGGCGGCCACTCCCTCCTTTCTTGTTTAAATTGTTTGGTGTAGGTGAACCTTGTCGGTTTTGGGAAGCTGAAAAAGAGCCGGGACTGTCAACTACAATCTGAGTGATTGCTTCGTCTAGGTCAAGAGGACTTTCCCAAGGAGTCGTTTCAATTTCATGGCTTTCGTGTGTTGAGGATACGATGCTGATTGGAGACTGATTGCGTGCACGCTTTGTAGAAGGAAGAACAGTCTCTTCATCTAAATGATCCCCACTTTCACGAACTGCCTGGGGTATGACGTTAGTCCGTGTCGACATGAAAGGTAGGAGATCATAGTAATAAATCGAACGTTGGAACAAGAGCTCTAGATGAGGGTGAGAAAAGTGCATCAGTAAGTTAAGTATGATCGGCTGTAGATGAAAAGGTACATACGGTCAAACTTCGATTTAGTTGTTTGCTGAATCGCCTTCCACTCATCACTATCAGATGAGTAGCCCATCTCGGATTTCTCTGTTTGAGCTTGTTGCTCAAAATCTTCCAAAATACCTTGTCCAGTTCCACTGCGAAAGTCTTGAGCAAGCGTGAAGCCTGCTTCAAGTGTACGTATCTAAATCAAATCCTCATGTACATCCTTTAGCCAACATTTTAAATGTAGAGAGCTTTGAAATTGACCTACCTGGGTCTCTACACCTTTCCCATCTCGTCTTGATAAACCTTGCTCAGCCAAGTACTCAGAAATCTTCTCACCAATGTCTTTCTTGCTGTAAATTGTTCGTGTGTCGGTATCCATCTCTCCCTTCCACCAATCATAACGTGTACCGGTTGTAGTTGCAGTTCCCAACCATTCAATTATCAGAACAATAGCACTCTTCCCCTCAGAATTGAGTTCAGCTTTCCACGAAGTATTTTTTTTTTCATCATTTGATTCTTTTGATTCCGTAGTAGGTTTTTGTGTTGTGTTTGAGATCTTCCTCCTCGTATATTTACGCTTCTTCTTTGGTGCATCAGCACTCGGACCTTCGTGAGCCAAAGAATTTGAAGGAAGTGTTTGAGAGACATCCATAGTATTTGAATTAGATCGGGATAAGCTCCAGCCAGTTGCATTTACCGAAGGTGGGATGAGTGCAAGCTGAAGACCTTGGTGAGGGATCGAACTTGGGCTTTGAACCCAGTTGGCCGGAGATACGATTTGCAAGGGGGAGGTGGAAATGGTTGAATTGGAAATGTGCGGGGATAGTACTTGAAGGTTTGGATCGAGATGTATGGGAGTTAGGTAGGATTGACCTGCAGGCGGAGGAGGATCAGCCATTGCTGTATGTATCTTATAGCTTTGCGTGATCTTCAGGGAAAAAGAGAGTGAACTCTAAGACTATTGGCCTCAGTGCCCTGGTTGCAACGGGGCTTTGTTATGTCAAGATATGTAAGTCTTAAGTCTGCAACTTTTGTGCAAGTATTGTGCAAGATGCTAAAAAAACTTGCACAAAAGTTGCACAAAAGTTGCACGGATTAATTTCTGAGGTTTGAAAACCCTAAATTCATTTTTTTTTGGACGTGGGTTTTAGATCTGGATGATCTTGACCCATCAAAAAAAACCCGTTCTAAAAACCCGAAAATCAGATGGGTTTTCATGGGTTTTTTACACGGGTTTTTCTGATGGGTTTTAATTTTGTGTACCGCTATTGTATCCAAAAAAAACGACTTGATACAGTCTTTGCTTTAAAACACTCGTTCTGTCACTGGTGAATTTTTCTTCCAAGATATGCACTTATAATTCCCAATCAAATATAAAAAAAAATGACAAAAAAACCCAAAATATACAAAATAAAATGAACTATTGTTTTTAATAAGAAAAAAAAATAAACAAGATGTAAAGAATGTAAGAAAGAAAAATAACGACGAGTATGTGTGTAAATGACCTAATTTAAAGAATTACAATATATGTATGTATGTTGTTTACAAAAGGAGGAATTCGATTTTCAAAATAAATAAAAAATGCTTGCGTTGCGTATTTTTGATGGTATAAACTAAATGTGATTTAACAAACTTGATGAAGTTTTGAAGAAAAAGAACGAGTGATGAATCCAATATATATACAATTTTCTTAAATATAAATCACTATGATATCAATCAAGAGTAAGAAGATCTAATCAATCCTAAAATCAAAAAAGTTGAAATGATCTTTAATCAACTCTTGAATACTGTTTTTCACTATAACCATTATGAACCAAAACATGAATAGTTTCAAATTGATTAAAGATCAATTGATCTTCATTAACCTGAACATGCCATGAATTTTTAAAATTTAATAAACTTTTCCACCATGAAGTTAAGTCGAATTGATCCAAGAAATTCAAGAATTCATATGTCATTAAAGTGATCATCCAACTTAACCAAAACGCACATGAAAACCAAATCGGATGTACTATGAGCCAAAGCAATTGAATTGGAATCGAAAGTTGAAGACCTGATTTATAAACCATAGTACCAATACCAATCAAGATTGGAATATGTATAAAGTAAAGTGAAAGTGATAAATCACCAAAGAAACAAAGAGTCGAATGAGATAAAAACTTTCTGGAATCTTTTGAAATTAGAATACTTAAGATCATCATACTTGATCCTAATGAATTAAAGAAATCTTGAAAGTCTGATGGGTTTTCTTCAAACCAATGTTTGATGGATACATAAATCTTTTGAAGAATCGGATTTGATGATGATTGAGAATGAGGAAAACTAATTAAGAAACAAGTTAATAAAGTTAAATAAAGTGATGCTATATTTAAATAAATCCCTTTTAACTTATTGTTTTCGATGGTAGTAGTCCTTGAAAAGATTTGATAAGTATGTAAATCTGAAATTAATGTTCCAATAAGAAATGAAGCTGGACCTATCAAACTCTTGGAGTACATTACTATCACAATCATGTATCCTAAGAATTGTCTTTTCCAGGTTTTCATTGAGATTGTAATGATTGTGAAGATGCAAATTGATATTAATCCATAGAATTCTGAAAAAAGTGTCCAATGAGGTGTCTTATAATTCGAAAGAGTTCCATGATCAAACCAAACATAAACCTATTTAAAATCAAATCAAATCAGATGAAGAGATTCGATTCAAGAAAACATAATAATCAAAAAAAATGAAAAAATGAAACTTACAAAATTCTGAACGGTTTCTAATGAAACCTTTTTATAAAATATCCTTTCATATTGAAATGTAACATCTCTAGACCAATTCGTACCCATCTCACCTAAATCAATCGAATTAAATACACCAAGTAACCAACAACAAAAATCAAGATAAGTGGAAATCGAAACGATGATGATCAAATATAGGTTTCTATGAATAAACGTTTTAAGGATTTCTTGAATTGATTGAGATTTAGATTGATGATTTAAATGGATTGATGAAAAATGTCGAACAGAGAGTATGTAGCCTGTAAGTAGGAAGTGCCATTTCAAAGATGACGAAAAAAAAAGAATGTTAGAAAGTGATGAGTTGTTGAAGAAGTTGAGATATAAATTTGAAGACTAACCTGATAAAGTGAAATATAAGTACAACAAAAACTACAAGAAAAACTCCCATCAATGAATATCTCAAGATCAGGGTAAAAAGTATAAAGAGACGACTTACTCGTGAAGATAAAAGTGTTTGAATCAAAGGTGATTGCCACATCAAACTAGTAGGTCTACCTAAACAATCTAGATCTGATTCCCAAGGATGAAAAGCCAAAGACGAATGATCAAAAAGAATAAGGATGGTAATCAGTCCTTGTAGACCATTGGTCCATGCCATCGTTTCCCACATCTTCAAAGAAAAAAGCTCTTTCTATATTGTAAGACTTGGTGGATTTCTTGATGGTTGGACGAATTGATCCGATAGATTTTATAACACTTTGACTTTTAACAGATAAACCTATTTAATTCCTTATATCTTTTTACCAAAAACTTGAATTTAAGTAAAATAAAAATGATTTCTTTCTTGTTTAAAGAAGATTGATCTAAAGATAATTGATAAAAGTAAAAAACGATCTATCTATGACTTATAAAGCTCAAGAACTTGTTGGAAAAATTCATAAATGATCAAATTCCTTTTCGGTTTATAAAAAGCTTTTTTTATAAAATGAATAAGTTTGAGTACTTCGGATTGCAAATTGGATCCGACAAGAATGAGAAAAAAGTTCTCAATCTCGTTCTTCGAACCGCGCATTCAAGCAAACTCAAATCTAACTATCTCACACGTCAGATTTTTCAATTCTCTCACAAAACGATCATCAAAGGGTTCATCAATTGCACAAATTCCATCGAAGGAAAACTTTGAATTTCGGTGGTTGTATCAAACACTGCGGGGCGCACAAGACGGGCATCAGGTCTCACTCTCAATGCGACAGTGCGCAATCGTCTACATACATATGGATTCGAGCAAAAGGGAATCCATAAAAAGATAGAGAGATAAGCGATAGAAACAATTAGAAACCGATTTGAGAAAATGTAGAAATCAGCAAAGATTGAGAAGAACAATCTTGGTTAATTCCTCACATGAACTCCTTACAGAAAGTTGTCAAGCATTCCTGTTTTGAAAATCAAAGGCTAGAATCAGTTGATAGATATATCTTCTGCTGATGTTCAACTTTCCTAGGTGCGATTTTTTTTTCATGATTGACATGTTGCACGTTATATTACGCAAATGATAAGAAGACAAAAAATCGACAAGTTTAACTATTTCCACATATATACATTTCAAGCAGCTATG